TCATCCTTGGAAAAATTTCAACCAAAAATCAAAATTTCACATGCGTGTTTTTTGAGCTCAATCGATTCCTTTCAACGTAAGAACGTCACAAATATACATTTATAAAACGTTTACGTCAATAATAAGGAAGAAATCGTCGGCTAAAAATCGTGAACGCTCAAAAAACGCTTAAAATGTGCCGAAAATGTCCAATATTTCGGATCTGAAACTTCTACCATGTTTTTAAAGAGTTCGAGGTGTTCTACGCGTCCGTAGCTGAACATGATGTGAAATTTAAGACATTTTTTATGATTTTTCCATTAATAAACCGATAGAAAAAACTGACCATTTCCAGAAACATGGGAAAATTTTGCATAAGAACAGCATAATAAAACGCTCAAATGTTGTTACGAGCAAGCAATTAAAAGAAGAAACACAGTGAAAACTTATTCAGATTAAAACAGATTCATCCATGTATTAGTTATTAGGACGCAAACGTCTGTGATAGACATTTTTGAAACTGAATTAAGAAAAAAAAATTCTTTATTCAGTTTCTAACTAAATCTGTTATTTTTCTTTAATGCAAAGTGGCTTGTTTTGGTTTAATTGTAAAAGAGCTTTTTCACGTGTGGGGCGGAGCAAAATAACTGGAAGCATTAAAGCGAAAGCCGAGCAGTTTATTGAGTAGGATTTTTAGCAAGGAGAAAATGTGTAAAAATTTATTAAAAACATATTAAACAGCAATACGCGAAAAACTAAATATTTTGACTGATGCCCAAGTCTTAAAGAGGTTTTCCTTGTTGTACTAATTGCGACGATAACGGCCTTAAAATTCGGTTTTCTGAAAAGAAGGAACACAGTGAAAACGTAACCAAATTAAAATAAATTCATCCAAGCACTGGATGGATTTCAGTTGAAACATGCAAGTCAAAATCCTCTACATTATCAAACCAGATAAATGTTTTTATAAAATTTGCTTCTCTTATTCAGACAGCAAACGTCTGTGATAATTTTTTTAAATTCTTAATTCGATTTCTAAATGTGGATTTTTTTAAAGGCAAAGCGACTTGTTTTGGCTCAATTTCAAACAGTTTTTTACCTGCTGCGCGGAGCAAACCAAAGCTAAAATGTAGGCTTTGCAAGATTTTCAACAAGGAAAAATGCATAATAATACTGAAACTAATAATAAGACTGAAGAACTATTGGCAATGAATAAAGGAAATCAAGTGCCACAACAAAGAATTGCATGTGAAAAAGCATGAAGAACTACTAAACTTCTTCTTTCTTCTGCTGTAGCTTTTCAATCTACTTCAAGCGGATTTTTGGTTGATTCTCAATCAGAAGCTAACGAAATTAACTCGTCCTTTTCGTGGCTTTATGGGCAAAACCATAAAGCGAACGGGGTGAAAACGAGGGAGGCCACACACTATTTTTCCTGCTAATCAATAAATGAAGGTTGAAATAATTCAAGTCCAAGGCCAGCGAAATATGAACCAAGGCTGCGAATAATGCATTTGTCACGGCCGCACCGAAATTCTCGGAGTCATTTCAGAAAAATCGTTTTTAGCGTTGTTCTCTGGCTAAGTCTCAATGGTTTAGACGTGAATTAATTAACCATTTTAACTCGAAATAAAAAAGTGGTTCTGAAGTTTTCAAAAAGCTCAGATGGTAGATTCACCCTCTGTGCTTCACTTGGACAAACTCGGGGAAAAAAGACGATGTGAACTTCCTCCGGTTAAAAATCATCGTTGTATCTCATTGGTAATTCCGCATATGGGTAGCCCTGAACTTGAGCCAAATCCATTAAAAGCCATATTTATTAAATGCGAGATAAACAAGATTGAACGTTTCGCTATTTTGACCCCGAACTTAATTTAAGATTCCTGCGGAAAATTTCCTGTTGGTCGTTGCGAGAAAACCGCTTAAGCCACGACCTATTCAGATTAAGTCGTTGTGACAAATTGTTATTATATTTTATTACCAGGTGTAAATGACCTACCACAATAATGGTCTTGTAATATAAGTACGTGTCGATGGTTGCGATGCGAACAATAAAACGCCGTTATGCAGTAATTATAAACCAGGTTAAATCGAACAGGAGAAAATAATCAGCTTTTTAGCGGTGCCTGCGGCTAATGGCCATCAGGCTCTTCCTCTAACAGATCAATCCTAAATCGGCTCAACCATTATGGAAAAGTCTTCCAGTTTTACGGAATCTTTCCTCTAAATTGCTTTCAATTACCATGCTCTAACTCGCGCCTCCCTTTTTGCTTTATTTGCTTGCTTAAGTATGCGCTCCTTTCGAGGCTCTTTTATGGTGATTTCGAAAACTAGCTGGAAGCAGCCACGTTTGGCTTGCCATCGTTGTAAACTTTTACGATTGCACTTCTTGCTGATCCCTCGATGGAGATAGGAAATGTGTTGCTCCGCAGAAACTGAATGAAACACATAAATTGTGCAAACGTGCATATAAGTGCGCTCTCACGGGAATCCAACTATCTACGTGTTTAGCCCATTATCTAAGATAATCTTTTTAGACTGAATAAAAACGAAAGGACTTAGTACTGTTGAAAGTGGTGAGTTTTTCGAACTTTTAGGCCTATGTGGAAAAAATGTCTTGAGTGGCCAGGAGGAAATTCCTTTTTCAACAAACTCAACACTTTCTAGGGATGGTCGGTATTTAACGTACCCGCTAAAATAAGAGTGTTCCAAACGTGTAACAATAATAATAACCGTAGTTACAGCAAGCTGATTTAACCGGTTTTATTTAATTTTCTAGAATCAGTTAAAAGCATCTGCAAACAATTTTATTCTTCTATTTTAATCACTGTAGTTTATTATCAGTTTTTTGTTCTTTAAGTAGTTACTTTTAAGGAGTGATTTTAAGTAGTGATTATTTTTCATAGTTTTTATTTTTACCTTCATATACCGACTATACTTTAATCAAAACCCTTTGGGGTATCAAAAAAGAGCTTAGTGAAACTTAAGAGCTTAAAGAAGAAAGGAATCAAGAGACGTCAAGTCGGGGCTATTAGGGGCCATGGGATAAGACCAGCTCGTCCAGTCCAAATATCGAAATTTCCATATAAAAAACTGCTACCGGCCCAACGTTGTCGGGTGGACAAAATATTTAATTTCTGATCTTTAGCTAAAACATGAAAATCGTCACCCCATGTTCGGGAGAACTTGAATATCCAAAGGCATGCAGCTAACATAAAATCGATAGCGACTACAAGAGCGACATAAAGTGAAGAAAACCAATCACCCAATCCGCGGAAAATCTCACATTTCAGCCCGAAAATCCCACAAAGGTGTCGTAAACTTCGCTATTTACAAAGGGAAACTCTTAGAGCGGAAAACGAAGAGCTCTAATGGACATTTTCGAGCGAAAAGTACATTAAATACCTACATCAAGTTCTGCGAAAATTCCTAAACCCCATAATGACACCTACGCATACCAGAACTATTTACATATGATTTTTAACGACTGTTGATGACCTGATGTTAGCAAGGACTCAAGTGATTGATGATTTTCAATAGTGCTGAACAGATTTCAAGGTGATTTTTTTCATTTTTATGAACTGGGTTTTCCACAATTTGTAAAAAGCTACATATTAAGCACAAGTCTGGAAAAGTGTGGAAGCTGGAAACGTTTGCAGTTAAAAGTGAAAATGTGCACTAAATGTGTCCTTAATCAAATCGTCAAAAAGTTCCTAAATTAGCTGAAGAAGCTGAAAAATCCTCCTGTAGTTGCACGAACTTTTCAGTGTTCAGTCAACATTTTCCTATTAGCATAAAGTTTTATCAACTGTTCAAATAGAGGAGTTGGAAAATCCGAATTAGTAGAAATAGAACAAACTGGGGTCGCTATTGGTGTTTTCATGTAGTTATCTTTGCCTAGAAATTCAATGCATGCGTTCCTTTTTCCTAGAGACAGTGTGAACTGACTATTTGAATAAGCAATAAGGAGCTGAACCAGTACCATCAACTTGTCATCAGCCCGTTATAAATCAGCGTATCGCCATTTGGTACGTGATTTGGTGTTCGCCAACCTGAATTGATGATGTTGGTTATTAAAAATGAACCGCACCTTTTGAAAAAAATCCAGCAATTTAATGAAGAATGAACCACTCTGATCCAAAGTGGAGTTAGTTTTACTGGCAGTTGCAAGAAGACGAATGGTTGCACCGTTACGAATTTTTGGCATCGATTCAGTGGCTTTTTCCTTGCGCCTCCACTAAAACTATACCGTGTCTATGGCCGAACAGAAGAAATCAACATCACGTTACATCACGACTATAGGAATTATAATTAAGTCAGTTCCAAGGCTACGATATTACGGTGTCATTGACATTGGGTAATAATCAGTTCTTCACATAATCCTAGTGGAGACTAAGGCTATTTTTCACTTTTATTGGTTCAGACGAATCTTAATATGCATGGCTAATACCACCGAATATGGTATCGTCCACGTATATGGCTTTCTTCCGCGTAACTGCTTGGGAATGCCCAGTTATTCCGAATATGCATCAACTATTCGTGAAGGATCACAGCAATTTTCCATTCTATTGCTTCAAGAGCTCGAGGAAACTCACCTTTGTTGAACCCGCTATACAAAAGTATACGTTTCCAAGCCAAAAATGCTTTTTAATTGTTGTCTTTTGCCTAACACGCAGACCATTCAGAGGCAATTTTGAATGGCTTTTCAGTTCTTAGGTCCGAAACACTCTGAATAATTTTTGTAAAACAAACGGACAAAGTGTTTGCGTTGGTAACTGGACTTTCATACACAATATTCCTTAAATAACTCCAGAGAAAAGAATCAAGAGGCGTTAAGTCGGGGCTATTAGGGGGCCATGGGATGGGCCATACCAGCTCGTCCAATCCAGATATCCAAATTCATTTAAAAAAGTTCTACTGGGGGAATGTTGCGGATTACCTATATAACGCATCTTCATCAACGCATCTTCCTCTCCATCAACAAATGTTTCTCCTAACAGAGCAAAATTCTTTTAACTATCGTATTGTTCGAAATAAAATACCAGATTGGTTCTTTTTCATATTTTAGTACAGACGGTCTACGCGCGATTTAATATATTTTTCAAAAAACAAATTTTTTAAGTGACTCCCCAAGATAAAATCTAAGGGATTTAAATCAGGGCTACGAGCTGGCCAAAAAAAATTACTAAGACACCACTCACATGCTCATAGATTCAGATTGAGATAGAGTCAAATGATGCAATATTTCGAAAACTGCATGGTTTATCAACAACCTTTTTTCATAAAAACAGTCTAGCAAATGCATAATTTAAAATCGCCACAAGCACTATTAATTGCGCACCACCCTGTATAACTGAAAACTCTTAGACCCTCAAAACATGAGCGTCAAAAATATATTCATTCTATGGATTTCTGAAGAAAAAGAGTGTTGAGACATCAAACTAGGCCTGGGTAACTCAATCAATTTTTAGGAGTTGACCCAGTGCTTGGTGCGCCAACCCAACAGTTCCGTTGCTGAGAATATGTTGATGATTTTTTTACGTGTGTTCGATTTATTTCAAGGGCCATTTATCAATAATATTTTTAACATTTCTTCAGAATTTTGCAGTTTTAGCAAAGTTACTCTTTTTGCCAAGATTCACTTCAAATTACTGACAATCTTAAGGTATCTTTCACAAAATAAATTTTATTAAAACACTCTCAGGGTCTCCTCGAATTTGGGACAAAAATCAATGAATTTTCTATTAAAACACGAACTGAATAAACGAAAGTTTATAATAAATTATTTAGGAAACTCGTCACCTCCATTCCTCTGAAGACTGTACAATTTGTTAAAAAATGTGGTTTTTTAATTTTGACAGAATTTTTCATGCATTACTTTCCACTCAAAAACGCTCTATTTTGTTGAGTTTTACTTAAAAACAATGGTGATCTGGATGTATTTTACGCGAAAAATTACAAGATATATTGATAGCTTTGTAGGAATTTTACAAAAACTTTTTGAGCGTCCAATTCGGGACAAAAACGAAAATAAATTTCTCCCGTTTCTTCCCCAAAAACAATTAAGATTTACTCAAAAACCTATCACAAAACTAAAAGTTTTTAATCAAAAATGCAAAAAAACATTAGTTTCTGATGATTTTCTTCTTTTCTGATAATAATGGGGAGTCTAAGCCAGAAATTATAAAACTAATTTTGCTAGAAAATTCGCCTCTTTTATCGGTTTGCAGGGAACTTTAGAAAACTCTTTTCAGGTTCGAATTTGACACAAAAACCGAATAATTTTATTCAGTTTTTTACCGAAAGTATTTCGAAAATGCGCCGCTCTCATCGCCATTTCAGATCATTCCGGTTTTAGCAAAGGTTCTATTAAGCAATTCTTTCTACGCAAATAAAACATATTATTTTTACTTAAAATACATTTTATTGGAACATTCGGCTCCTGAACAGCTTTGTATACAATTTTCTGGATCCTTTTGCAGGTTCGAACTTTGGACAAAACCCTGATAATTTTTTCTGGATTTTTTCCGAAAAATATTTCCCCGAACAGAAAACTGAAAGTTTATAATCAATTATTGGGAAAAATTGTCGCTTTTGTCGCTGTGAATGATTTGGGTTTTTTCACTTTTTGGTCAATATTTCTATACAAAACATTCTCTGAACAGAACAACGCGTTTTTTCTTAACGTTTTACTGTAAAATTCTGACAGACGAGAGTATTTTATGCAAAAAAGTTAAAAGATGGATTACAAGAAAAGTCGTCGTCTTTTCAGTTTGGTCTTCTTTATCGTCTTTTTCGCATACCAATTTTCCCTTTGAATTTGGGACAAAATCGAAACAACGTTATCTTGTTACCTTTTCGACAAAATTTAGGTTTACTCAAAAAACAAGCAGAGAAAGCAAATAATCAGTATTTAGAAATATTTTTTTAAAGTTTCATCAAAATTTCCGGCTTTTCCCGTTTTAAACCAAATAGTTTCAAGCAATCGTATGCGCAAAAGCAATATGTTGATAGCTTTTTTGCTAGATGCTAAAATTCCGCTATCGGCCATGCGTTGTAACTCATTAACCAATGAGTTAAAACTCATTGACTCAGAGAGCGGCGACAACTCAAAAGCGCAACTCAACACAGTGTTACCCAGGCCTGCATCAAACAGCTTAATTCCCAGTGAAACTGAACAGACGATCATTTCCATGAGTTTTCTCCATTACTTGAAGATGTTTTGGTTGCAGAACAAAGCAACTACGTGGCAGCCGACTCAAACAGCTCGTCCACCACCAAAACCTTCGTTCCTTGTAAAGTTTGTGGGGATAAGGCATCGGGGTACCATTACGGAGTTACGTCGTGTGAAGGCTGCAAGGTACCAACTTGTTCAAAACAATCAATATAAAATGAGAAGCATAAAACATTTGTATTTTAGGCAGGTTAATGTAGTTTTCTTCTGTATTCTCAGGGTTTTTTCAGGCGAAGTATCCAAAAGCAAATAGAATACAGGTGTCTGAGAGACGGCAAATGCCTGGTAATAAGACTGAACCGGAACCGATGTCAGTATTGCAGATTCAAGAAGTGCCTAGCAGTCGGAATGTCTAGGGATTGTAAGTACATACACGGTGTCCCCGGTTACAAATTTCCGATGGTTCATCAACATTTGCCCGTTCTACTGGGCTATTTACGCAGTAAATAACGATTATTAGGTTCCCTGTTTCCAGCTGTTCGATACGGTCGCGTCCCGAAACGCTCGCGAGAGCGAAGCGTGGAAGACAATCCTTCGAGAGTGTCCACAACGGCCCCTGATGTCATTTCGGTGGTAAGCCCCGCCCCCAACACCACTGAGGCCATGTCCCCCACTTCCGCCGTTCCGAATACCACCACCATCACCACAACCACCAGCAGCGTCGTGATCGACAATGATATCAAACAGTTGGCCGTTTATGACATTATATTAGGAATCTCTCAGGTAGGGCTTGGTTGAGAAGCCAATTAATAGCGGAGATGACATCAGTGTCTCCAAGTTTACCCAGAAACAGTTAACAACTTTTCCTCGTTAGGCACATCATGCAAACTGTAACTATACGGATGAAAGAATGCGCAATTTGCAGCGACGGCCTTTGCTGCCGCCCCCTAGGTATAAGCTGGACGAAGACGAAGATGGGACTGAAGATGGGGAGGACGACGCGGTGGCATCTTCAACCGCAGAGTCCTTGGAAAACGACCGGTAAACTACTCAAACTTCCCTTGGAAAATGTGTCCATAAACATCCGGCTTTTCAGTGGCTGGTTGTGGCAGCAGTTCGCCACCTGTATGACTCCAAGCGTGCAAAGGGTGGTGGAGTTTGCCAAACGAATTCCCGGCTTTGGAAGTTTAGGGCAGGACGACCAGCTGATACTCATTAAGCTGGGCTTCTTTGAGGTTTGGCTTACGCATGTGGCGCGACTTACCAGCTCCCAAAGCATGGTGTTTGATGATGGCACGACGGTGACGAGGCAACAACTGGAAATCATGTATGATGTAAGTCTGGGTTAGGCCAACTCCGACCTAAGGAGCGAGACCAAAATTCTGCCTGTTTCAGACTGACTTTATAGCATCTGTGATTCACTTTGCTAATACGTTTAATGCACTCGCGTTGAACGATACGGAAGTAGGCTTGTTTTCCGCCATAGTTCTTTTAACTGCTGATAGACCTGGCGTCACTGATATCAAATCCATAGAGCACCATAAAGATAAGCTGATTGAAGCACTCAAAGTACAGGTGAGAGGACCCGAATTAAGTAACTTCCACATACATTTTTGAACGAAATCAACGTTTTACTGATAAATTTGGACTAACTTTGGAACTGGATAAGTTCTGACTGCTTAGAGCAAATTGGCAAAGCATTAAGCACAAGACCTCAGATGAATATCCAAAAAGTTTTTAATTTTTCGCTCATCTCGTTCATTTACAGAGTGGTCACAACAACAGTTTTGGCCTCGTAGTGTTTTTTGTCATCAGCCGAAGCTAAAACTTCACAGTGGACTTCTGCTGATAAAATCGGACCAAGAGCAGAAAAGTTATCGCTGCAAGACCAAAAAGTTGATTGTTGCGA